TATATATATATATATATATATATATATATATATATTTCATAATATTGCTATAAAGTATCATTGCTGTAGTGCTGATTCACTATCTTTTTAATTTACTTTTTTCTCGTTTGTGTCTCACAAATTTTTCATCGTGTTTATCGAACATTCTCCTGAAAGTTCATTCATAAGAATTGGATGTATAGACTAATATGTCTTATTTGTGCTTTTCGGTGATAGAGGAGATGCATTTGACTTCTATTTTGTAAAATGCTGGTTTTCAAGACGTTTTTCCTTTCCAAAGACATTTCTGCCTTGTTGTTCTGGCTAAAACGATCGGTCTTCTATTAGTTTTATTAGTGCTTTAGCATATTATCATATTTTTGGTTACAGTACGAAGTAATATTAATAATGCTGCAGCAGTTGGAAATTTATTAGCTTCTCTACATCTGTTATTTATAGAGATTTTGATGGTATATTGAAATTTAGAGGCAGCTTTGTCTGAAAGGTTGCAGATAATGAAAATTTGCATATTTTCTTAAATTGTACTTGAGTTAGCCGGTGTAAGATAACAGATTTGGTGTGGTCAGGATAGATATATATCCTAGCAGATGTTTCCCATGGAGCGGTTGATGTTGTGTGAGTTGTTGCATAATTATTGATGGAGAACGATTGTAATAATACTATTATTGATGTGGCTCATCACCCTGTACACGTACCGTTGCTTATTTTTGCTTCCTTTCTTTCCGTTCTCTTTCCAAATCCTGCACTTTCAATACTCATTGGCAAGTTAAGGATTAACAAAAAGTTATGTAAAAAGTTCTGTAGCGAATAGCAAACGAAGCCAGCAATACAATTTTTTTTTGTATTGTTTGGAAATAGCAAAATTCTTGAGGTTTTAAGCTAAAGTTTAACTTCACTTCAAAATATTTTGCTACTGCAATTTCTTTTCTCTGCAAGTGTTCCTTATCGCAAATGAGCATTTTTAAACTTAAAAAACTTTGTTGTAGAAGGCTTACGAATGGAAACTGAAACGGCGAAAAATTAGTTACATTTAAGTAAGGAAATCATAACCTTTTTTGGGTGAAGAAGTCTGCGTTCATGTGGTTCTTTTTCTTAGGTTTTTTGTCAGAATAGACAGCCATATGAGCATGTAGTTGAAGGACAAGTAGATGAGTTGTGGCAGGCGAGAACCATTAGAAAGCGTAGTTTCTAACAACTCTCTGTCATTTTACTGTCTTTAGTTACAGATGAAAGGTACTGCATCGTTATTAAGCGTAAATAAACGTTTTTCAAAACATTTTTTGCAACCAGTCTATATATCGACGATGAACGTTTATAGTGTTGATACCTTTGACCAATTGTACTAACAATCACTAAAGATTAGTGAAGTAATAAATATTTATTTGTTAGGTGTTCCTTTTACGTATTTTCTTGGACAGAGAAATGTCATTTCTAGTAGCTAACAATGGTCGAAAAACGTCGGCGAGGTAAACACGACTGCTTTGGAGTGATGCACTATTTTTATGCCATATGAGATGTTGTTCAAGGTCAAAAAAAGCTTCATACTGCAGCAGTGGCATCACACTGTAACTTGTGGCCGTAAATGTTGTAGTGTTGAAATGTGGCGTGTCAGGGAAATGTGGTCGATCATAGTTTTGTTGTAATGTGCACTGTCGTTTTATCGATCTGGCGGACGATTGTCACTTTTAAAATGTACAGCTGAGAAAGTTTGTGCAGGATAAGCGCATATTTACTGGCCACCAAAAATCGTTAACCTAAAAACTGTGGAATTTAGTAATCTTTGACCTATTTTCAAAAGATTTCCAATTACAAGCAGTCTGTCCAAATGAAGAAAGCATTTAGTCGGAACGAAGCTGCATCTGTTCAATGATGTTTTTATGCGAGAGCGACAGCAGTGAATGAGATGTGGTGAGATTAGGGAAGTGCTATCGTGGTTAGCAGTTTTTGATTTCTCTTAGTAATTTAATTAATTTTAAATATTCACATCCCTTTCTTCATTTTTCGTTGGCAGTCTTTGTAGATCTCAAATCGTATAGTTTGCGGTGTGTGTTTGTTTTTGTGTTTGTGTGTGCTTGGTATGTGTTGGGTTGTCCAAATCTGTTACTTACACAGTCCTTGGTCTGTTTCTGTAAACATTGCTTTTAATCAACTTTTCTTTAGTTTGCATTTGTTTATACTATTTTTTGACACTTGTGATTACTGTATAAACGGATCCTCCCAACCAAAATTATTTATGGAGAGTAATTATTTAAAGTAACGGCAAATTACTTCAGAATTTCGAAAACTAGACATTTTGCCCGCGCTTTCCAATGTTTCGGAAAACAAAGAGCAGAACCAATTTAAGACAGCGTGTACGCTCGGATGATGACGATGATGATGTTCTTCCTAGTGGAAGTGTAGGTGAAGCGGGCACAACGTCGGGTAACGGTTCCGTAAACAACCGGGGAACGAAAATGGATGCGGAAAAGGTGATTTACAAGGAGGAAATCGAAGAGCGAACTGTGGTGGTTAAACCAAAACCGAACAGTTTGCTGAGTTTTGACGACGTTGAAGGTCTGTTGCCTGCAGCAATCTTGCTAAGTCAGGACAAGTTCTGTGAACTGCGCCCTGAAGCTTGCTTCTTCAAATTTGGATATGAAGCAAGCGTGAAGTAAGGAAGAAGGATGATGTTGGGTGTGTGGAGCTGAGGGTCAGAAAGGCCAGCATGAATGTGTTACTCCTGGTTGGGCTAGATGTTTTAAACCATGTACATAAAAGGTGACTTTACATGTTTCTTGAGTTTCATATTTTCTATTTCTTATCATGTTTAGGTGACGATGTTACCGACTTTAAGCT